ATATAGTCCCACCTGATGGACAGCAGGTCGACGAGTTTGTTGTCGCGGTTGCTGAACTGTGAGACAACACTAAGGGGGGATCCCAGAATGGGACCCCTGTGGCCTGGCCACCTCCCTCACTGGTTTGCGCCTCACCTCCTGTTCTCCCTCCCCACGCATCTGGCTCTGCGCGCCCTGCGGTCCATTCCATGTGTTCGGAGTCCAGGTGGGGAGAGGTCTGCATTTCCCTTCGGGTGCTCCAGTGCTGCACTTTTCCCCGCCAGCGAGCAGATCTCAGTCCTGCCTCGAGGTGGATTTGGATCCTCTTTTGTGTCCCCCTTTTCCATCCCGTTCCTGAGGCTGGAGGAAGGTGTGGGGAGGACTTGCTTTTTTATGGTATGTTTTTTTCTCTTTTCTATTTTTTCTTAAATAAAGGTTCATTTCTGTACAAGCACTAACTCCGCGCAGGACCTAGCGTGACTCGCTACCACACGGCCGCCTCGTTCATTTCGGGAGGATGGGACAGGTGGTTCCCATAGCTCGCTCCGCCGTTGACTGACAAGGATGAGAAGGGTGGGCTGGGCCCGAAGACCTCGGCCGACATGGAGTGCAGGGGCCCCGGCAGACTGGGCTCCGGGCTGGGCGAGTCCCCTGGAGGGTGCGCCAGGATGTCAGTGAACCGCTGCGCTTCGCTGGACGGGTGGTGGCCGGGCAGCGGGTGCTCCAGGCCGCCCAGCGGCGTCCCCGACGGCCCGGACGACGGCACGAAGGGAAGGTCCACTGGCGTCTGGGCCTGCGAGGACGGGGGACCTTGCGGGAAGAAGTCGTAGTTGCCCCCGGGGCCATAGTACTCGCTCTGGTAATCTGCGGAGGGAGGGGAGAAGGGCGTCAGTGTGGGAGTCTAGGGTGGCCAGGGGTCTCCCAGACAGAGGCAAGCAGGAAGGAGGCTGGGTGCACATGCAGCGGCTGTCCCCTCCAGGCTCATGGCCCAAGGCCCACCTGCTCCATCAGGGTCTGGATCAGCCATTAGCTTTACCACCTCCCTTAAACTTACTCCCTAGCCTTCCTCCTTTGCTCCCTAAATCTTCATTTGTTGTTCCCTCCCGCCTTGTCACCCGCTTGGAACGAAGCTCCCAGCGGCTTGACAGCGCCCCACAGCTCCACAGCGCACCCACCTCCGTAGAAGGAGAAGGGCCCGTTGGGGATGAGCTCGCCCGGCTCCAGGCGGTCCACCAGCGGCCGCATCCGACGCGGACTGCGGAAGAAGGCGTGGCGCCGGGCTCCCAGAGCGCTCAGCTGCTTCATCCTCCGTTCCTTGGAGCGCCGGTTCTGAAACCAGACCTGAAGGGCACAGGGTACAGGGTGAGGTCACGGTATAGCCCCTAAACCTCGGTGCGAGGCCTGAACACTCACCCTCCACCGCCCGAGCCCCGGCGCGCAGGGTGTTGTGCGTGTGTGGGTGGGTGGTGTAGCATCTTCGGGTGGGGTGGACCCTGAAGCAATGGTGAGCAGAATTCCCACTAAGGAGACCCAGGCAGGACTGGCGACAGGGGTGGGGGTAGCCAGGTTGTTTATCACATTCACTGTCACAGTTTCTCAGGGCTGTGCAGACAAGGATTACAACTTTGCCAAAGACTGTCACATACAGCTTCCCTTCTGCAGTCCCTTGCCTCTCTCTCTCCCCAGTAATAGTGACAAAAGATAGAAACCGCCTTCTGTTGCCACTCCATGTTGGAACAATCTCCTTTTCACATCCACCCGCATACTTCCAGTGCCAAACATTTTTATCCATCGCCTCTGACACAAATCTTCTATCTCCCATTCACATAAGCACAGGCTCGCTCGGACAGTCGCCAAAAGGCCCTTTGAACACCGCGGGCGCACGGACAATTCCCACTCACGACCACCAGGATAGAACACCCCTCCCAAGACGTCGCGCTTGGGACAGACTTGGAGCACCCTCAGCAATGCGCGATGCCCCAGATGGCTGCTCCTACTCATGTCCCTGGGGCAGCGCTGTCTCCAGACCTAACTCCATCCAGTGTACCCTCCTGTCCTCGTATTTGGAGGGCTAGTGTCATCTTTGACACTTTGACAAAGTTAGAGTCAGACCCAGGGGGATTTCACTTAGTGAAGAAATTCGCGGAAGAGACCAATACCGACGCACTCACGAACTCCCAATTCCTCTCAAAGCGGGAGGGAGGTAAAATGGAAAGAAGGGTCCCAACGCCCGCCCCTCAAGGCCTGAGAGTGTCCCCACACCTAGCCTTCCGCTGAGCTCCCAGCTCCTCCCCTCCCCTTCCGCCACAAACATCTCGGTAGGTCTGAGACCGGAACGACGCTGCGGACTTCTTGGCGCTCAAAGCACCCCTGCAGGCTTCAAAGCCCTGTGAGGGTCTAGGTGTGCCCAAGTCTTTCCACAGCTCCTCCTCCTCCCCTAGAGACCACCTCCTCTATTGCCTCCCCGCCGCGGGGCTCTCCCGGGCAGGAGGGAACAGCCTGAGAGCCCAGAAGCGCAAAACAGGCCTCTGGGGGGCGGAGTAGTGCCCCTGGCCCTGACCTGGATAACGCGCATGTTGAGGCCGGTCTCCTGAGCCAGCTGCTCCCGGATGTGGCGCGTGGGCTTGGGCGTGGCGGCGAAGGCAGCCTTCAGCGTCTCCAGCTGCTTGGCTTTAATGGTGGTGCGTGGCCCCCGCCGCTTGGCCCCCAGATTCTGGTCGTCATTTTCGTTGCTGCCCCCTTCCTTGTCCGACACGTTGGCGCTCTCCGAATCCTTGGCATCGTCCTGCGACGGGTCTTGGGAATCTGGAGACAAACTGGGGTCGCTGCCCGTGGTGGCTGGGGAAAATGAAGGGACAGGTGAGCAGCGGCCTTTGGTGGGCAGGACCCGTGTCTCCCAGTACCCGCCCGCCCCTAGGGAGCCGGGAATTGGGGCCTCACCCGAGTGGAGGCTGTTCTCTTTGGCGACACTGCTGTTGCTTAGGTAATCCTCTTTGCAGACAAACTTGTTCTCGTCGATGATGTACAGCTCCTCACCCGTGGAGAGCTGCTTGTTACACATCATGCAGGTGAAGCAGTTCAGGTGAAACACTTTGCTCCGTGCCCTCCGAACCAGGTCACTGGGGGATATGCCCTGTGCGCAGCCGGCGCATTTGGTACCGAAACACCTGCAGGGAGTCGGATTGAGAGAAGCCGAAGGAAATATCGCGAGCGGGAGAAAGAAAGAGGAGGTTGGAGAGGTGGGAAAGGAGCAAGGGAAAAGACAGCAAAGAGAACAAAACGGAATATCGATTAAACCAAGAACACAGCAGGAAAGAGACGCACATGGTTAAAGCGAAGGGTCCAAGTTGCCGACACAAACTTCTGACTATCGTTATCCTCGAAAAGAAAAATGCCGCCAAAGAACACCGGAAGGCTTCGAGAAACTAAACGCATCACTGCTCTCTGTCATCTGAAGGATGCGCGCACAGATGGGAGGTTGACTAGATCCTATCTCCCTGCAAGTAAACTTTTATGGTGACTGAGACTCACGACGACCCGTAGCTGGGCCTTCGACGCCTTCATGCCCAAAGCCCGGCGGGTTGGCACAAACGACAAGCCACTGCGGAGCCAAGTCTGTTCCAAGTGCTGCGTCGTTTTGACAGAGCCAGGCCTGGAGCCCACCTGCGACGGCTGAGGCTCTGAACAAACCTGGCTAGGTTGGTCTTGGCTCAGAGGCTCCCGCACACTTCCTTCCGGCAGTGCAAATGTGCACAGCACACTACTCCACAATCCCTTCTGCTCCCGGAACCACCGGTCAGGGATAGGCATTGGGGACAGTGCGTCCTAGGCCTCTGACACTTCACCCCTCAACCTCCTCTTAGTTTGATCTGTCACCTCAACTCAAAGAATCCAAGGTAGCCGGGAGATTTCAAACACGAAGGAGGGGATTGCAACTGCCCTTAAGACTTTCTTCCTCTGTTGATGTCAGTGTTTAGCAAGGGTGAGCTGGTTAGAAAGGTACTTTATGTGAATACAATTAAAATGCTAAAAGGAGGAGGGGTGTGAGACAAGGTCTCCAGGTTCAGGCCCTCTAGGGCTGAGCTTTTCCATTCCTTAACAGTTAAGAGGCAACAGCCACTGCTGGGAGGGCTAGCACAGCAGTCCTAGCCTGGAGCATGGTTAGGTTAGGGCTGGGTTGAGGCCGAACTACGGGCCAATCCAAGCAGGCAGAAAGGGGGGGGGGGTGAAACTTGCCCTGCGGAGGCTGGTCTCATGGCTGGGGCCAGAGCACCCCTTTGCAGGCCCGCGCTTCAAGGCCAACGCAGGTTTGGAGCAGACCCCGTGGTGAGTGGAATCCTCCCACTGGAGGAGGCCCAGATATACGGACTCAGAAGGTTCAGTGGTTCCCGCCCAGACCTCCTGGAGCTGGAAGGGCAGTGCAGGGGGGCAGCAGGGAGTAGGGTGGAAAGCTAGGGAGGTTAAAAGCAAATCAACAGGCCCAAGGTTGCCCTGCCTCCTTCCAAGACTGGAGGGGCTTGAGGGCCAAAACAGGTTTAGACCCTTTCTTCGGAGGCACGTGCAGCCTTAACTGGACCCATGGTTTCCAGGACATGAGCAGAGCCGTTTCTCGGATCCCCAGCGCGCCAGCTGGCGAGAGGAAGGTCGCCCCGCGGGATTTGGCTGTCCTTCCCATAGCAGCTTCTGGCGCAGCCACCGCGGCCACGCTGACCTCTGATCCGAAGCCGGCTGCGAAGGATGCGCAGGCAGCGAGCAGCTGAGGCGCGCGAGGAAGTACTCACCTGAAAAAGTCATTCTTGCAGTAGAGCTTGCCTTCCCGGGAGAAGCACTTCTCGGTCAGGTTGCATTTACATTCACAGCACTGGACGCACTTGACGTGCCAGGCCCTGTCCAGCACGTTCAAGAGGAAACGGTCCAGGATGGGCCTTTTGCAGCCGGCACAGTGCACCATGGTCTTTGGTTTGGTCGGGTGGGACCCGGAAGGAGAGGAGCAGGGCGAGGGGCGAACTGCCGAAGAGGACCTGCTCCCCCACCTTCCAATTAAAAGGAGATACCCTCAGTTGTGCACGCCACAACCCCGCACCAGGAAATCAAAAGAGGGGCCACAAGAGTGGGGGGGTGGGGTGGCGAGGAGCGCCTCGGTGGAGCGCGCAACCTAGATTGCCAGGGCCCCAGGGCCGCCCGGGCAGCGCAGCCCGCAGAACCCAGCACGATGGAAAAAAAAAAAGTCTCAGGCAGGTGAGAAAGCGACCCTTCTTCCCAGAGCCGGAGGAGGAGTGAAGGTCAACGAGAACGGAGGCGGGAACGGAAAGAAATACGCCGAGAAGCCAAAGGCCGGTGCGGCGAGTTCAGGGAGCGCGCGGCTGAGTTCCCTCAGGCTTGAGGTAGAGCTGTCAGAAGTCAAAGTGCATCTGCTTTTGTCAGAGGTGTGCGTGCCCCGCGGAGAACCGACGGGATCTCCTCGCTCTTGTTGAAACAGACAAGCAGAAAAACAAGAGGAAAGACGCTTTGGATCCTAAACTGGCGGCATCGCTCAGCGGCTCCGGATGCTCCAGGCGCCCTCGCAGGGCCCGGGAAGGGGCGAGGGCAGGCCGAGGGGGAGCGGGGGGCAGGGAGGCTGGAGGTCTAGCTGATTGTGTCTCGAGGTGGTTGCCAGAGTTCAACCCCTTTCGGAGAAGTGTTTGCGCCAAGCGAGGACTGAGATAGACAACTCCAGGCGGACGCAGTCAGGCGCGCGCGCTCTCTCGCCACCGGCCCAACCCCGTCACCCTGGCGAGTGTCCTGTCCTAAGGCCACCGTGCCCTCGGGGAGGCCCTCCCAGTAGCCTGGGCTCCTTGGGGGAGGCGACACGCACCGGTTCCTCACTGCGCCTGGCGGTGCATCGTGGCTCCAGTCACAACTCGCGGCCGCCTGGGCGCGCAGCCCCACATCGCTCGGCCGGCGCTCCCGCTGCCCGCGTCCAACCCCACAGTCGCAGGACTTTCTTTCTCCTTTGGCCTCTCTTGTTTCGTTGTGGTGGCAAATCTGGGTTTCCTTTTTTGGTTCCTTTCCCTCTCTTTTCCTCCCCCCTTTTCTTTTGTGGCGGGAGGAGTCAGGGGGAGGGGGCAGTTTAGAGGAGGAGGGAAAAGAAAAAAGGTCCCAGTGCCGCGGCTACAGTAGCAGGCCGGCGGCGGGAGAAGCTCGGCGCGGGCCGCCGCGCTCGCCGCCTGGGCCGCGGAGCGTTGCTGGCCTTCCCTGGGCTCGCGTCCCTCGGTCCCCGAGCTCCTGGCCCAGTCGGCCGCCCCGGCGTGTGTCTCCCGGGCTCTGGCAGCTCGGTCACTGTTCCTGGCTGTTGGCTGAGCTCGGGAAGCCCCCTCGCCTTAATGCAGCGCCCGCCGACGTCACGGCGGCTTGCGACCAATCAGCGGCTCGCGGTCCCTCTGTAAACCATTCTGCATCCCCCGGCCCCGGAGAGTGCGGGGAGACCGCGTTTCGAGGATCAGCGGCCGCGGCGGCCTTGCGCGGCGCCGACGGCGGGCGGCGAGGTGCCTGGGTCCCCTTCGGCTCCGGTAAGGCCTGGGCTTCGGTGGGAGGAACGGAGGAAGGATAGGAGGAGACGTAGTTCCGCGGGAGGGTGGAGGTCGTCCGAGACCGAGCCTCGTCGCGGGTCCGGGTGCGCGGGGGCCGTGAAACCCGACGGCCCCAGTGCACGGTTTGGCTCAGCGGGGGTTTTGGGTTTTCCCCTTCCCGTTGTCTTGCTATCTCGGCCTGGAAGTTCGCCTGCACTCAGTGAACGCCTCGAAGGGCTGGGTGTTTGGCAGAAGAATCGCCCTCCTCCCCCTCTCTGGTCCCTCCTTTCTTGCCCCCTCCCCCAATCCATCCAAAGTCCACAGGGTCCCGGGCTCCGGGAGACCTGGGTGTCCGTCCCCCGCCGCGCACTCTCGGAAAGTTGATTCAAGCGGTTTCCTGATGGGGGCGGGGGAGGCCGGAGGCGCGGCGCGGGGGAGGGGCGGGAGGGGGTGGGGAAGCCCCCTGGGTGAGGAATTGCAACCTAGGCTAGAAGTTGTGAAAAAACTGTGATCCGGAAACACCTTTTACAAACAAAAACAAAGGACCGAACGGGAAACCTCGGGGATCCAGCGGTGCCTGGAGGTGCTTAGGAGGGCGAGAGAGAGCTCGCGGCGCAGGGAGCGGTGGAAAGGCTGCAGGGCGTGGGCGTGCGCGCAAAGACTAGGGACCTGGGCCTCCCCCCGCCCCTCCTTTGTAATCCAGTTCTCAGGAAACCTGCACCTCTCGCATTTCGCTCCCGAGTACACTCGGGATTACGGCTCTCTGGAGCTGAGTTTCCCAGATCTTGGGGGGAGGGGGGCAAGGCTGGGTATCGGAAACCGTAGCTTCCGAAAGTCATTCCAGTTCCCCAATGCATGCTAGTCAGACCCCAAATTCCGTTTCAATGACACCTTTTCTATGCTGATTCGGGATCTTGCCCGAAGTGATCTTACTCAAGGGTCTTGCTTTTTGTTTTAATTTTTTTGTTTGATTTTCTTTTGTTTAAGTTTTAATTTTGGGGGGAGTGGGAGTCAGGAATGGCAAGGAAAGGGCGCTAGGAAGGCTCCCGACACCCTAGTGTGGCTAGAAATCAGTGCGGAAGGCCACATTCTGTATTGTGGCACTGGCCCTATGATGCTACTCAGGTGCGAAGCTCAGACACCCAGTCCGGGCTCAGGAAGACTTCGCGCGAAACACCCACAAAATAACTTTCAGTGATTCTGAGCTTTAGTGACTTCGATTCTGGAAAAATGAACGACCCTCTTCGGACGAACCAAGACTTCAGTTGACTACAGTATATTTGTTTGTGCTGGTGCAAGTTGGGTTCCACAGATCTACCTTTGCGCCTTTCCAGCCACTGAACCTACGCCGGCCGCATCGCCGGGTAATTCCAGGCCTGCCAGCCGTCCACCTTGCCGTTGGAGCCTCATTTTCACTGGCATCCGGAGCCAAGGTCCACAGTGTGTGCCTTTGGCGCTCGGCCTTTCCGTGACCTCTGAGTGCTGGGCTTGAATAACGCCTCTTCCACTCTCTCCTTCCACCTGGGCTCCTGCCCACAGCCACCCGCTACAGCGGAACAGTCATGACCATGTCCTGCACGCCTTCTTCCCCCGCAGGACTCTGGGAGCAGGGCAGGAGACGGGATGGGGCTCCGCGGCTTGCACTTGGTTCTCCACTCTTTTCGCGGACCACCACTTCCAGGAATAAGCGGGGACCATGACCTCCCCCCCCACCCCAGCAAGCGCTAAGCGCGATCCTTCTCACCCGCGGGGATCTCGCCCTGCTCCCCAGTTGGATACGCGATGAGGCTTGTGGAGGGGCCGGTGCCCCAGATCTTTCCCCACGCTACCCCATCCCCAGCTGTCCTGGCTCTCCACGCGAGCGACCTGCCCAACCGCCCTTTTCAGGAATCTATAGCTGTCAGGTCCCGGGTGGCCTGGCCCCAGCTGGGTTCCTTCTCATGCAAAGCAGAGAGGCCACGGGGGAGCGGGGGCGCGGTCGGCGGGAACCTACCAGGCGACAGCTGGACCCGGCTGCAGGCCCCTCCCGAAGCCAAGGCCCGACGTCCCCTTCCGGGTGAGTGCGTGCGCTGGAGGAGGTTTGCTCAGGCCGTTTGGAGGATGCAGACACCTCGGGGCCTCGTCTGGGGGGAAAGAGAGCGCCCCTCATTGAGAGCTGCCCAGCGCAATAGGGAGTTGGGTCCCAAGCTCTAGGGCCTCAGGGCTCTGCTTGGCGCCATGTCCAGATGGCAAGGCAAACAGATCGGATGGAAGCCACTTCGGTGCCACAACGGGGGTTTGTGGTGCGGGGCGCGCCTTCGGCTCTTGATTCTAGAGCGAAAGTCCTATTTGACGCTTCCACGGTGACAGCACTGAGCTTTTATTTCTAAACGCACTAGTTGCGGAAATAGGAAGAGAGAATTTATCGTCCTTAAAGTCGCTTTTCTCAGCCCTGCATTTATGCCAGTGCCGGCTCTCAGGAAAGCACCAGCGTCTCATCCCAGCGACAGTCCCCAAGTGTCTGAGCGCTGTCCTACCCAAGGTCTTCCAAGTCACACAGGTTTTGGCGAGAGGTCCCCTCCCACTCCTACTTTACGAGAGGCCGTGGGGGTTGTTGCGGCCAGTCCCGCGCAGCGACCGCAGACTCCTCGTGGCGTCATCCCCGACAAAGGCCCTGGAGAGCCGGGGAAGCGACTTTTGCGCTCAGGAGTCTCCTGGGGCAGCGCCGGGAAGATCCCCCGCAGAGGCCAGAGGACGCGCGAACTGAGGACGGAGAGGTTTGGCCAGCCTAATCCCGGCGCCCCGTGTTGAACTGCTTTCCTCCTGCCGCCAGCCTGCTGCCTAGCCCCACCTCCACTCTCTTCCTCGACGTCCCCAAGTGGCTCCGGTGGCTCAAGAACCCGAGCCCGCCGGGTCAATGTCGGTCGTTATTGATCTCTAGAGCGGCATCGGCTTTCTTCCCCGGTCTACCGCCTGGGTGCGGAGGAGAGACCGCGCTCCCTCCAGCCATCGGTAAAGGACGGAGAGGTGGCTGTAGGAGACGCCCAGGCGAGCGCGGCGGGCTCCGAGTTACCGCGCAACTCTGCACCGGTGCGCACGCCGCACGACGGGCCTGGCGGCGAGAGGGAGGGGCAAGCCAGGTGCGCCTGTGGACCCTGTGGTCGCCGAGGCCGCACTGACACTCCCTCCCATGTACACACTCGTTCGTGCTTAATGCAGGAGGGGAGCTGTTCTTTCAGGGGCGACCACTCCAAGCTTCTCCTTTTCTCTTTGCGCTCTCCTGCCTCAGGTTCTTTTTCTCTCATTCCGTCACTCCCCTGGCCCCCTAGAAATGACCTATTTGCACTTTACAGTTGGCCTCGCTCTCCCCAACCCAGACCATCCATCACATGTATGTGTGTCGAGGGCTAGGATGGTATCACTATTTTCCTTGGAAGTAAACCCAACTTGGGGATTTGCCCAAGACCCCTCGGTCAGTGCACTATTGGAAGTGAGAAGTTGGGGGGCTGGTCACCTCACTCCTTAGAATATTTTGCCCCCCAGCCACGTTTTCCTGCGAGGTTTAGGTGACGCCGGGCGGGGACTGCCGGGAGGCCCGGACTCCGCGGTGCGCGCGCGCTCGGCCTGTGTAAACAACGCCGGCTTCCCACGGGCTGGAGCAGAGGTCGAGCGTGGTGAACGCAGATGCAAGTGAGCGCGGGGTCTGGACGTGGAGAACCTGAGGCGAGAAGGTGATCTGAGGGGACCAGAGGGAGAAAGGAGAAATACTGACAGGCGAGAATAGGAGGAG